GGGGGGGGGGGGGGCGTATTTCTCAAAACATGCGCAGTTGATAATCACCATTTTGTGTAATGTATCTGACCCACGGTAATGCTTGGTATCCGCTCTTCTCAATAATTTTCAAATAACGAACTTGAATGCCAGAAACAGTAAAATAAGGGATCTCGAATTTGATTTCAATGGGGGCTTTCCAATGCTCTGGGTCTTCACTTGAAACAGATGGCAGACCGAAATGTGCACGCATGAGATATTCCCTGGACCCGTTAAATTGTTTGATGCTCCATACAATGGCATTTCGGTCCGGAAGATATGTTACCGAGCCAATGCTTGATTTAAAAGAAGGAGAATCAACATCATGCGGTACTGGGATAACAATATCCACTCCATTGGCCACAGAGCGACTCTTGAACTGACTTTTGGCTTTCACCATATACTCTATCCGACTATGTGAATGAGGCTCGACAACAGCTTCAACCCAGATGAGCGGCTTCACTTGAGTGGTAAGCCTGTATGTCATTAGATCAAATTCACCGTCTGGTGGAATGAATGAAATTGTGCGGTCGTTTTCAAAGCGAGCAAGTCGGACACACTGGTGAAACTTGATATCCTCTAACTCGACCGCTTTGCCGCGAGTCATCGATCTACCAGTTGCTTCGAACATGAGTTTATCATTAAGGCCGAGCTTTAATTCTGGCATGCCACTGAGAAAAGATTTCATCTTAATTGCGCCAACAATCTCTGAGCTAAGCACTGTTCCATTACTAGAGACTAAGAGATTGAGCTTTTCGATGACATCCAGGAAAATCTCGTTCTTGCGATGCTTGATGCCCTCACTACGCCAAGAGACCGCATTTGTTACAGCAACCGGGGGCCGCGGTGCAATTTCGTGCCGATTACTTTCTTGTGTGATGAACCTGGCATAGGATACTTTAGCGACTGACGTTGAACGGCATGGTTAGCATCTTACTCGCGTAAAATTTTGGAATCCAAAGACTGCGGGTAGCCAAAATCCATGGTCTCATCCATCAACTCATATATGATGACAAAGTTATCACGAATGCTTTCTTCATCTAACTCACCAAAATAATCCTTGAAGACCTTGTATAATTAACGTCGATCAGTCATATTGGCGCGAAGTAAGGCATAGGCATGAACTTACATTCACCAATCGATACAAAGTCATCAACACTAAAGCTATATTGGAATTACGCTTTGTTACACACATCAAGAAAAGGTTGTTGTGCTGCTCGAGATAATAATGTCATTATTTTATACGCATATGCATGTCGCACCTTTATGTAGGCAAAAGTGTACCCATCATCGGTGAAAATCGGCCGTTAATCCATTTCGTCCTTTTCTTGAATGTATTGAGCGAATCTGCAATATAAATATAAAATAGACACAACTATCCCTAAAACACCTTTCAGATGTTGACATAGGCACATCTCCACGGTAGTTCCGACTGATGATCACTTTACCCTTAACATCCATCAAGAACAGACAAGAGAGAGTCATGCCAGTGCTGTCCGCGTCCGACTTGCGATCCGGTGACGCAACAAGCCGCTTTGCTTGCAATTTGGTGTGCGGCTCGCTACGGAGGGCGGTTGGGTTAGTTAGTTTCATTTCCGTCCACTTGGCCTTTCGTATCTCCCACTAGCCTGAGCTAAAGGAAGCAAGTAAGATCCTCCCTCGAGGGGAGGTTGAGCTCAGTTGCAATTAAAGATGCCAGAATGAAGGCCGACGGACCGCGCTTGGATGGCGCAGCCACCTCAGCGGGGATGGAGGCGGTGAGCTCAGTTTCAATTAAAGATGCCAGAATGAAGGCCGACGGACCGCGCTTGGATGGCGCAGCCACCTCAGCGGGGATGGAGGCGGGTAGGGCAGGGCGGGTGCTTCATTTGTGCCGAAACGGTACTGCGATTTTACGATTCCAAGCAGCCCCGGTCGCCAGGTCGCGCCCCTCGGGCCGCTCCGAGGGCCTGGGACCGTGACCCTGCCGAAATTGAATGAGAATGTATAGTCCCATCTGCCGCTAGTGGGTTCGAGCCCCGCTCGCGGTACCTCCCCCTAGAACCCCCCCCCAAAAGACCCAACG